GTAATACTGAATGTTGTAGGTTGATCACAATATCAATGGAAACAAATAATTTAGAGGGTAAGCATAGGTMTTACCCTCATTGTTCATAGTGACTGAATGAGAAAATATTTTAATCTTTGACCAAATATCTTGCTTGCCAAACTTTAGATCTGCTGGCATTTAAACTGAAATAATGGCAGCAACAATGACTGACATAAAGAGCTGTATAAAACAGATACATTTATTATGATGTATTATATTCAAATCCATGTTTTTTTCCTCCTCCCCATTCTCTACTATACATTTTGAATGTACCTGACATAACAAAGGTAAGATTCCTTCTGTTTTTGTTTTGTTTCTTGGGTTGTGTAAAACACCACAACCCTGTTGTGATGGGTGTGCACTGTATATTGAGTGTGCTATATACGGTTGTAATGCTCATTAACTCAAAATCAATCCATTCCTTATGCATGTGATTTGGAAATCCTTGCGGCAACAGCTGCTATCAGAGCTGCACCCTTGCCTGAACCATCCTCAGATAGCATCAACTTGATGTTGCTTGTTGGTAGTAGTTCTTTAATAGTTGCTTGCATGTAAGCTTTAAATTGAGGGTGGTATTTGAACAGGCTGCCATCCACAGCGATGGTGCTTTCRTATGTCTCAGTTTTCTGTAAATGATTTAAAATGGCGTTTTAGCATCAGATCTGTCAGTAATGATTTGGCATGCAGACACAATTATGTTACAGGGCTTAAAATAATGACCAACTGGCCAGAACTGGGACTTGTCTGGTCAAATCTTTGCCTTGCCAATCATTTTGATCAGTRATGTTTAGTCAGAAATAAGTTATGACTAAGCTGAAAGTAATTTAGCCTATGACACTAAGTAGTGTCCATGTGAGAWGTCTTTACTGAAAGTGTGTGTCCATAAAGCAGGGCAGTACTGTAGTGACAGCAGGGCTTAAAGTAACAGCCTATCAGTYGCCRGTCATGATCATAAGAGAGACAGCAMAGTRGCAGTGCATGTCACYCAATGTTGTTTTTCCCTAAACATGGCTGTYATGTAACCCCTYKAATAGGAAAACRCCCWACAAAACTACYTAAGCGACTACATAATGATATCATTATTAGATAATTACCTCAACAATAGTTGCAAGACCTGCTGCCGCCAGACGTGCTGCCCTTTGAGACAATGCACTACAGACTTTCTTCAATGTCTCATAATCCTCCTCAGARCCCTCAATTCCAAGTTCTTGGACTGTCTGTCGAATTTTCGCTTTGTCATGACTGTGAGATTAAAGCAGCCATATGATCAAAWATAGGTTTGAATATAAGTTAATGTTACTTCTGCTATCATAATATACAAGGTAAATTCAACACTCMTATATTGGTCTTGTCTATTTGGGTCAGAGCAGTTTTTGTATGACTGTGAAAATCTCCTTGCATATGTCAGAYCAATTACATTRCACAAKAATKTACTCTCCATCYAATAAAATACCTGAACATGGCATGATCATGGCACGAACATGGTCAAGCCAGAAAATCACACTGCATAAGAAAAAAATTARATACTCAAAATTCTAGAAAACTTCAAAATCGTCGCAAGGTACACATCGTACCAAGCTTTCCACATAATTTCATATGAACACTGCTCTATCACCAAGTCTATATAAAAGTTCAAAAGAGACTTTTTTTTTAATGAGACAACAATTTTACCTTTCAATGTCAGACACAAATTTTGTGAGGAATCCCCACTTGGTTTCTAGTTTCTTRGAGCTCTTTCCCTTAAACAGAAGTCCTTTTTTGTGGAGATCAAGGCAGACAAGACGGACAAGCTCACCCAAGTACATTCCTGAKATCATTTTCTCAAAGCTAAAATAAATTGGAACAAAGAATTATTTATTAATATCAGAGTAAAAAATTTCAAAGTAATTGAAATTGAAATATTGACGTACTGCAAGGGGTCTATTATTTCTTAATCCAAAAATCAAAGCATGTGACCCAAGAGGTGAAAGGTGAGCRACTACCCCAACCCCACCATTTATTTTTCATATCAGGTTGTCTTTTGATGTTGTCATTTCATCTTCTTTCCATTTTCCCTTATAACTCTTCCCCTCCTTCCCCTCTTGTTCTCTTTCACATTTCTACTTACATTTGCTGTCCAGGATTAATAGAACCACTGTCCACATTCTTGTCATGATCAGTAACAATAAAGTTCAAAAGTCCATTGTCTCCAAATGCTCCCCATTCTGTATTAATGATAACTTGTCTAGGATCGTTCTGATCGCCAGTCCACTTCTCTACCTTGTCTAGTTTCTCCATGTAACAGGCATTGGTGCCCGTTCCCAGGATTAGACCAGCAACGACATTGCGATCGTCAAAACCACATGACATCATTGTCCCTGTGGTGTCATTTACCAGTGCAACAACCTCAACAGATTCACTCTGTAATGAAGGTAAATAAAAAGGTTGGATTTGCATTATGCTCACATGTGCATRTAAAATCAATGGAAAATTAAGACAACTTGTTACAAAAAGTAGCTTAGGGGCTGGGCAGGGGGGATCAAAATAGAAAAGAGCGGAGACACTGGTTGTGCCTTTTAGGGTTCTGGGATTTAGTACCTCTTAGGGTGTCACAAATTTAACAGGACCCTCCTAGATTCAWAAGCAATGAGTGAGTGAAAAGGCAAGACTTTTAATAAGTATGTACCTTTTTCCTTGACAGAGCATCTTTGAGTAGCTTGACCACATCTTCATTTTCAACCCCAACAGCACTGAAACCCTTGGTCCAACGRATTAAATTCCCTGATACCAAACTAAACTGTTCTACTGGAAAGGAGAAGGTAAATCCAAGAGGAAGTGTTTTATCTTTAAGTCCTTTCTTTTTGACAAAGAGCATGATACAGTCAGCAATGTAGTCGAAGAGAGTGATGGCATCACTGGTCATGATTGTTTTACTGAGTGGAAAAACTTCACTATCCATTTGTACTTTGCCGTGAAGTATCTGTACAATTAAGACCCTGAAGTTTGTCCCTCCAAGATCTAGAGCTAGAAAATCTCCTGACTCGGTTCCGTCTGGTATTGAACGTACAAATGTCGGTAGCATTTTGATTGGGCTTTCAGCCCTGATATTAGGATCTGCAGACAATCCTTTGTCCATGTCACACCTCAGAATCCTCATAACCTCAACTAGTGATTCCTTTGGGAGATCATAAGACTTAAGAAGTTCTTCAACCTTTGTGAAAGATAACAATACATTGTAGTCTGAATACTAATATATTGTATTAGTTATATGGCAAAAATTTTTGCACATCAAACTATATGAAGACATTTATTAACCAGAATTCGTTTCAGACGATTTTGGGTTAGTACTTCACGTAAGACTCCATGAAATGGCACTATTGGATTATTAATTATTTATTGATTATAACATCCTGAAACCCTAATCCAAACCCTAACCCTTAGGAGCAGGCATAGCTCAGTTGGATAGTGTGTGACCTTCAGAGCTTGAGGGTCCATGGTTCGATCCTTAGGATCTCCACATCTGTTTCGACTTCTCTCTAATCCATGTACCTTCAGCTTTAAATACTCTTAAAACAGAGCACTGATGGAGAGAGGGGGTAAAGTGTGCACCGTCGGCTTCCATTGATAGCAGTTGAATTTCAACTGAAGGAACTACCAACATTAAATATAGGAACTTTACCTTTACCTCTAACCCTAATCCAAAAAAACCTAACCTTAAACTTTATTACCGGTACGGAGTACTAACAGAAATACCTACAGCTATATGTCGTAATTACAATGTAAATTGTTAATCACTAACAAAAGGGGTCTAGAGAAATGTYTTTGGCTAAAACCAACATTACAGTGTTTACATTCATTATCTAATGTATTTGTATAGGAAATCGCACAATTTTTAATTTGGACTTTATAGAGTATAATTAATGAATTAATAAAAAAATATTTTGTAGAGTGTATTATAAGTATAAAGAAACTTTAAAGATATATTTCTGGTTGAGAACCACTGGAAATRTTGACTGGACTTAACAAATCTCCATAGGCCTTTTTGGAGTTCGATAAACGGGATGCATTGTGGTCCAGCTTTGATACAAAAAACACCATATAAGGCATGATAAACAATGCACAATGCATCATGTTCACTAAATCTCTGTAAAGCTGTTCAATATAAACCTCTTATTTCATATTGATGTTGTTGATATGATTTTTTAATTGACTTGTTTACATAAGTAACTTTATATTGATGGTTATGAAATATTTAGAAATAATATGGTAGAGACTAGATAAAGTAGTTAACCGCGTTGGTGTTTGGAATCGAACAGTAGGAGAATATTGATTTAACTTAATACACTGTATGGTTTGTGATGTTTAGAAACTGACATTTCGGACGTTAGTCCTTCGTCAGAGTAAATGAAGTTCATGAAGTAAATGAAGTAAATGAAGTTCATTTACTCTGACGAAGGACTAACATCCGAAACGTCACTTTAGAAATAATATACTATTTAAATACATGTATGAAGTTCTTACCTCATCTGCTCCAGAGAGGTTGGTCTGCAGTGACTTAAAGGCATTGGATAATAAATGCGRTACACTAAACATCTTGACTTGTATTTATGGCTATGATCTGTAATAAAGTAGGAGAGAATGAAAAAATATTGTAATGTTGTTGATATGAGGAATGAAATACATCATTGCATGAAAATGCTATTACGTATACATAAACTGCCAATCAGATGATTTTTTGGAGTTAGACTGGGGGGCAATTACAATATGCAACTGTTTAGTCGAAACATGTCAAGTAAGTCCTCAAAGTATTTGATCTGATTATTTCTAGGGGCTGAAACCAAAAATCAAGTTACACATACAACCTCTGAGCTTCCAAATGTTAATTGCCCCCCAGTCAAAACACAGATATTACTGGAAGTGACGTCTATTGATAGTAAAGAATTATAAAGTAGAAATGCCATAATCCTGAATATTTTTTATTTTGTGAGTGGTAKAACAACAGCCAATGGATAACAAAACATGTGGACCTCATTCTATGATTGAATTAAAGATGCCACTTTTGCGCACTGAAAGAAAGACCAGAGAATTTGGAGAAAACCATTGATGCACAGAAGAGAACTAACGAACGATTCTATAGAGACTTTGCATCATCACATGATGCCAGCCATGACAGGAGGCAGGAACAATAGCACAGCGCAGCCGTGACGTCATAAAAACGAAGACAAAGGCAAAATTCGGACAAACAAACTTACAAGTTTACTTTCAGCAGATAATTTTCTCAGCCGATCGCAGTTGATCTTAGTTTGCAATGTTTGTCTGAATCTTTAAGCTATTTTTAGAATCAGCGTGCTGCGCTATTGAATCTGGTCTAATCTGATTTACATGAGAAAAAATTCAGTTTCCCAGGGAAAAAAGACTAAGGTATTGTTGTGCCTCAGACCTGTCATGGCTGCCACCACTGGAAAGCCTATATATTTGCATATAATTGTGACTATTATTGAACCCCAAACCACAGCATTGATAGGCCGTCAGTAACAACACACAACCACCTGTGCTTCAAATTCATTCTGATATTTAGTTAAAGTCTTTTGTTCTAAGTAAATATTTGGTCCCCCCCCCCCCCTTATTTGAATAATTAAGGTTAAGGTGTACCCATAAAAAAATTATATCATAAAAGATTGTCTTACAGGAATAAAAATTAGTCAAAAAACAAGCATAAAGTAGTGCACTCCAATATAGTATGTGATGGTATGAAACAGTACGTGATGGTATTTACATATTGGCATAATGAAGGATTTGGAACACCTTATCCGTAATCCAATTACGTATTACTAGTAAAGGTTAGCATATGCTTCCTATAGAAAAAAGTTTAAATCTAAATGAAAATAAAAATACACAAATGAAAATAAAGCAAAATTCACTTTAAGTGAACGCGAGTTTGCACTGCAGGGAGTCCCCGAAAATGCGTTTCTTTGTGTGTGTGTGTGTGTGTGTGTATGTGTGGCGTGACACGAATGTTAGTTAGGTACCAAAGAAAGTTAATTTGGCTTACGTTTATAAATGTAAAACGTGCTTTCTATGTTTAAAAACTGCCTTAGGAAACGGTTGAAGAATGAATTTGCAAGGAAAGAATAAAAGAACGTCGACATAAATTAGCCTTCGTTGCAACCTTGTGTGTTGAAGGTCAAAACTGTTGTACAGTGTACTAGAAAAAGTRAGTAAACACTTAAAGAAATACCCTCAAGGTCCACTTACATCTGAAAATAGAGCTATCGAACTTGAAATTGTTCTTCTTTTCTAGCTATTCGTCCTGTCCGGTAGAAGAGAATGCTTTCGCGTCAAGTCCAAATTTCGCAAATTTTGTAATCTGATATGAGGTTCGTAACGATAGCCTGATAACACTTGACGGAGGATTATCGACTGATACATCAAGCACCCGAAGTATTTCCGAATTCCTTGCGTCATATTATTTAAATATATAAAACTGTATTCCACATAAATAATTTAATTGAACAAAATTTCAAGTTAAGATATTATTCATGAATCTATAAATAAAAAAAAGTTTATATTCCATACGATATTTAATTAAAGATTTATCTCCGAATATATCCGAATAAATCTCGTATTATTCCAACGATTATTGATTAGCATCGTTCTCAGTCCCTTATCGGTTGTCTAAATCCAATATGGCGGTTCTTGTACAAGAAAGTTCTTGACAAAGAATCTATTTTCTTGTATAAAGCGGGCTTTTAGATCGAAATATGAATCCCCATGGAAATAGTTTAAAATCCGACCAACTGTCTTCCATAGTTATGAGTTTTTTGAAGAAAAGAAAGTTTACAGACGGTGAAGATTCGACTGGAAAGCATCAAGCGCGTGGAACAAAACACAAGGTTGAAGACGTTGCTTTGAAGACTTCGGTCAAAAGCGAGTGTGGTATTCCAAACGTCTTGTCCTTTAGTGTTAATCACTTGGACGCAAACAACTACGACGAACAATATGGTAGCCTAAAATCATTCATCACTGGAGCAAACCCAGCTTATCGTCAAGAACTTGTCAAACTTCTATTCCCTGTGTTTGCTCATTCTTATCTCGATCTCATTGCAAAGGGTTTCTTAAATAACGCTCAAAACTTCTTCTCTAAATACAGCAGTGACTTGATGGCAGATTTTAAAGAAGATATTCAAAATCTACAGGCGATTACGGATTCCGAAAGGTTAAAATCCAGCGATACTGCTGCGAACTTCAGACGTAGTAAATACTTGATAAAGTTGAGTCACAAAGTCTTCACTTATTTGATGCAATATCTGAGAAGCAGTGAACATCTATTACTGCTACAACTCATAAACAGAAATCTTGCAATTGAGATATCGCAATCTAAGCCTGGTAAAAATATTGGTTCTAATGGCAATGAAGAAGAAAAGGATACTGGTGTCAATCAGAAGGTTTCCAAGGAAACTAAACATTCAAAAACTGTGGTTGAAAAAGATGATGCTTCTTTAAAAGCTCTTAAAGAGAGTATCGATAAGATAAGAAATGGTCCTGCCTGCTTGCCGTCTATTTGTTTCTATACCTTCCAGAATGCCTATCAAGGGTAAGACAGACAGGCAAACAGACAGACAGACATATACTGTCTGGACAGACGGACAAATACTAATTCATGATTTACAAATCTCTTTGTAGATGATCAGGTAACACATATTGTTTTTACTTTTAGTCTTAGTTCTGTAGGTATATGTAATGATGGAAGTCTGTTGTCTGGAGGTTTTGAAGACTCTTCAGTTCACCTGTGGAGTTTGATTCCAAAAAAGCTCATCAAACCAAAAACCAAGACCTGTGACATTTCAAAAATCATGCTTGCCTCAGGTACGTCAAGAAATTATGTTAGTTCATTTGTAGTTATAAATAGATACGAAATGATTTAGCAACAAACACCATCGGTTATTGCAACTTAGGTGTGAAAAAATGGCCTTGAAAACATTTTCTGTATTTTTTGTTAAAACTAAAGATTAATGAATAACAATGTTAGGGAATCAAAAGTGAAATGTACTGCTAAGATTCTGCCTCTCACTGCAGTGGTTATGAGTTCAATCCCTTAATTGTTATTGTAACATGGTTGGAGTACTATATAATTGAGTTCACATGAGCAAAAACCAAGACTAAAACAGTTTTTGATTTGATTCTAGACACTGCTGTTGCAAACGGTGGGAAAGTTGAAACTGTTTTGGGTGAAGATTTTCCTCTTTTAGGTCACTGTGGACCTGTTTATGCAACATGCTTTACTCCAGACAATACAGCCTTGTTATCTGCATCAGAAGACACTACAGGTAGGAAAGCAACTATTGAAAAACCCCTTATTTTTAAATCATGTTTTCTATAGTAAAAAAGCATTAAAACACTTTTTAGATTACTCTGTGAAAGTTGTTCAGAAAAACCTTATTCACATAACCCTCTATATATTGCATATATGTTATACAAGTGATAGATTTCAGTAGTAAAACTATAACAAAAATCGTATACTTACATGATTGGTAGACCTTGACTTTTGAGGAATCTGATTCTTTATAAATACTCTGTACCTTTATAAATACTTTTAAACTTTTCTTAAATAAGATTTTTTATAAATAAATAGCGTTTCTTTATTAAGTTGTCTTCAATTCAGCATGTTGGTAAGTTCCGTGCTTATATATCCTTCGTTCGATTAGCAATGACGGAAGCCAAATGACTCATGACATCTTCCGATGTCATCAGCTCTGAGCATTCGAGAAGTGATCGGTACTCGCGAACGTGCTTYGTGTAGGGAACACTTCGTCGTTTGTCGCCAAAGCATCGGATTTCAGGAACTTCAAGTCACACAAGGAAAGTGTTTGCGTATCTTCAATGCCAATAAAAATCGGGGATTTTGAAGACAGAATCAAAGTTAAAACTAGGAATTATTCCAKTTTAAAGTGGATAGATGCGAATCTGAACAAGAACCACAAACGCCTATATTTGACTTAAACACTGATTACGTTTTTATGTCGCAAACAAATATTCCCGCCCGTTCCTTAATTTCCCGCGCTTTTCCACTTGCCTGCTTTATGTGGATGAGGTTTAACACGTTTACTCGTTCAGATTTTCCTAACTGCTGCTCTTATTTCACTGTATTTTCGAGTTCTTAAGAGACGTCTTCTGTTTGTTTTGAACGTCTTGCGTTTCTGGGAAGTGTAAGGGTTAAAGACAAAGTTCACGTGCGCCGCTATCCAGATCCGAACATGTCCGAACGAAGCGATGACTGAAATTGTACTAGACAGGACAGCCGTGACAAAACATAGCGTAGCCAGATTCGTTGGCGCTGGTACGAGTTCGGGGTTATCTTTATTGGCATTGATCCTGTTTTGTTCTTAAAAGGTTCGACAAGAATCGACTGGTTACCGGCAGACTTTACTGAATCATTATTCATAAATGCATTTTGGAAATTTGGAAAAGTAAATAAAAACTGGAATAAAGTTTTAATTTCTTTATAGAATGACGCAAAACTTGTCAGTTTGAATGCGCATTGACTATATACAGCTTTAAAACCARGAGAAAAGAATATTTTCAACTGACATAAGAATCAGTAGTAAAGGAAGTCAATATATTGTTTCACAGGGTATTGTAGTATCGTATACTACACTATAAGAAGGCGGTAAGGTCAGCCAATATCCGTCGCAGAACGTATAAGGGTCATTTTAAACGTGAGCAACCCTTCTGAAATCTTGGACCATTTTACTGTATATTGTCACATAGGGCTTCGGTTCTGTTTGGTGGAGATCGTATGCGAGGAAACAAAGAAAGGTATTACTGGCATACTGTCAAAATTTTAAAAGGTTGAATAGACCATGATCATTGAAACCAGTATTTGTTTAATTAATTTTGAGAAAATTTTGTTTGTTTGTTTGGCTGTATTAGAGAATTAGATCGATCGTGTTGTATTGCATACAGAATTGTCTATGTACTTTTCTCTGAGCCGGTCTAAGCATAAATAAGCAAAAGTATTGCACTTTGATCCATTTTTAGCGTGACTCGAATCCCATCATGTTTTGCCCCAAATTCAAATGACATCATACCTATTACCATCCCGTACATTCCAAAGTACAAAGTTAGGATTGGGCCGAGAAAAGGGCATGTTCGTAAACCGTATAAAACCTTGCGTTTATCACGCGAAATGTTCAAAAAGATAATTTTCGCTATAAAGAAGAAATTTTTTCATACTTTTTATTTAGGGAGGGGTGGTATTCTTGTAATGTACAAAACCACGAGATATTTTTTTTTTGTTTTCGTTCAAGTTTTTAAAACACTCAAAAAAAGGATTATCGTTCCTCTTGTGATTGTCACGTGATGTTATGTCTGTGGTTAGGGAGGGAAGGTATGCTTGTTATGTGTAGACGTAATACCGTAATTTATTTACTAGTTCATAGGTCCATGATTTGAATGTTTTCGTTCATACAATGAWTTTCACGCGACATGACTGTAATACCCATGGTTGTAATGAGCGGACGCAGGGGCCCATACTTTGAATATTTTCATCCATATTACGATTGTCACGTGATCATGTGTCTGATGATTGTGGTTAGGGAGGAGTTGGTATGCTTGTCATGTCTAAGGTGTAATACCTTATTGTTTCACTAGCTCAGTGATCCATACACTGAATATTTGCGTTCATCTCATAATTCTCACGTGACTTGTCTGAAGATTATCATGTGATTTAAYGTTAAGGAAGGGTGTTATGAATGCAACGTACACAGATAACGTGCACACGTATTATCTGCATAGAAACCATAATTTGCATGTCTGACACATGTTGTCTGACGTTTTATTTTATTGTACGCGGGAGCTGCATGTCTGTATTTTCTATTAATTTTCAGCCATAACTAACTAAATCTGTTTTACAGTACGTTTATGGAACCTGCATTCGTACTCTAACGCGGTCATATACAAGGGACACAATTATCCCGTCTGGTGTCTGGACACTAGTCCCCAGTCTTACTACTTCGCAAGTGGATCACATGACTGCACGGCAAGACTGTGGAACATCGAGTATAATTATCCTCTGCGAATCTTTGCAGGTCATCTACAGGATGTAGACGTAAGTGTTATCAGGGAGGTGGGAGGGAGATACCTCCCTGGTCTTATTCACTGGTCCTTAGCTTGAGGAAAGAGCCGAGTGTGCGACATGTTCGAGGACGCAGCAGGAAGGGAGGAGGGGGTGTGTAGACGGAGGATTTCGACCGCCTTCTAGCCCAGCTTTCATTTACTGCCTARCACATTCACATACGAGTGTGGAAATTTAATATTCGCTCACCATACCGGTCCATTGTATAAATTTTCCAAAGCGAAATGATATATCTTTAAATGATGTCGACTTTTGATTGGAAGAATAGTCTAGTAATAATTTTTAACTAATTAAGGCTCATGCGTATGGTATATTTCTTTTGATCTAACTTTTCTTTGACCTTATGTCATTTATCTCAGTGTTGCGTTTTCCTGTTTTTCAGAGCGTCAAGTTCCATCCAAACTGCAGCTACATTGCTACAGGATCTACAGACAGAACCTGTAGATTATGGGATATCCAGGCAGGCAACTGTGTGCGACTCTTCAGAGGACACAAGGTAGATTTTCTCATATAAACGAAAACCTATATATACCACTATATTGAAGTTTGCTGTAGTTTTGCATCAGCACCGGGCTTCGTCCAATAATACGACATTTTTTTTGACCAATCAGAACGCACGTACTATATAATAAAGCTTGAACATCAGTCACCAGTTAAATTATAAGTAACACAGGATGTACGGTACATTCCACGGTAACCATATTGTAAGGTCTCAGTAAGACTTCATTACCCACAGGAAAAAATTAAATCGATTTTGCAAAACAATGGACCTCTTTACGTTGGGCGTAATGTTTTGCCCATATCAGGCCACGTGTCATTCCCTAGAGTATTATTTCTTTGTTTAACGGTTGTATATGAAAAGACACATCAATATGGATACGAACAAAATTAGGACCAAAGTAAAGAAGTCTATTCTAATACGTTACGCACATCCTCTTGACCGAATCCGTGAGATTGTTAAGTAACGATTCCGTTTAGAACGATAGCGAGAACRATAGGCCCGCGGCATGGGCAGCCGTTTACGATTTGGATTACGGCAGTGTTAATTAAATTATATTTTTCAATCTTATTGGCTTAAATTCGAAAAGCGCCAAATTCAAACTTATTTTCGTTCTTGTTCTTATACAAGTCCGGTATAGTTGCCGTAAATTGGCGAGCACACTTGTTGAACAAGGATTGATAACATAGGCGAGTTTGGAACAAATTGTATGTGGGGAACGATTTCYGAGTGTTCCCCACATGATTGGTCTAAAAAAAATTCGGACAATAGTTCCGATGTATCTTTGGTAAATGGAATGACAATTCGGTACTATTTCGGCGTTTTTCCGTAAAAAGTACAATTACTTTTTTTCGGCCAATCAGAGAGCTTGGATGTAATTATTTAAGCCAATTATAGAAATCTTCACTGCGCATGCCTTGCCGTTGGGTGCTATCGTTCTAAACGGCATCGTTACTTAATCATAATCATCTGTGTAACCTTACCTTGATATGAAACCACGTTCTGTTTCAAGGGAAGTATCCTGACCTTAGGCATATCACCAGATGGCCAGTACCTCATATCGTCAGGCGAAGACAGGCGCATTCGAGTATGGGACCTTACCGCTGGCAACCTCCTTAAAGAACTACGCGGGCACACCGACTCGGTTCACAGCGTCTGTTTCAGCTCCGATGGAACTCTTCTCGTCACGGGAGGAATGGATTGTCACGTGCGCGTCTGGGATTTTCATCAAGTTTCCAAGTGCGCATCAAGTGCTGCGTCAGCACAATCTAGTAGCGAACTTTTAGCTTCGTTTTCTACTAAAAATGCATCCGTACATAGCGTAAGATTTAGCTCTGGTAATCTGGTATTAGCTGCAGGCACTAACGCAACGTGATGGTCTTGCTGTTTAAATTGGAAGAGGATAGTATATGAAGCCCCATCCTTAAATATGACGTTACCCTTTTTGCACTTGATGCTGAATTATAAGAAGCTCTTCCTTAACCTCGGGGATTTGAAAATAAGACATTAAACTAAGTTATTCAATTAAAACGTTCATATGCCTATTTTTTGTATCCTTGAGTTCTCGGAGACTTTTATTCACCTCACGCCGAGTTCACCTTTTAAAATACAGATACAATTAATAGAAGTACGACTTATTTTTATTTTTGTAAGCAGTACATCTCTGGAATGAATTTCTATAAGTTTATCTTAAATTTTATCTTAATTTTTTATACTTATTCATTAATTATCTGATATTCTACAAAAAGAATAACCTATTGTTATCAATTCGTTATTTATCTACAAAAGACTTTTTACACTTACCGGAATAACAAACAAACTACATTTGACTTATAAAATCCTATAAAGAATAATTTTTTCAACCTCTTAAATCCGTTGACTTCTTTTCTAGTTTTATGAAAAAAAGCCAAGGAATGCTGAGTCTGCGATACCCTCCGCCAAAAAAAGAGCATGCGCACTATGACCCACTATCTAACCCAGAGACCTGTCATACTGCGCATGCTCAAAGAAATGCAATTTTCCCCTTTGTCCCAATCAACTTTCTCATTAGCAATCGTAAGAAAACGAAAGGACTGGAACCAATATTACTAAAGACAATTCTTTTGRTGTTGGACCAACAAAAGGAGCGCAAGCTCTGAGAACGAGAACGTCTCTTGGATAATTTATTGTGGCCGTAAAGGACAGAAAAGATAATAAAAAGTATCTGCAGCCCACTATCTTTAGTTTTATTATCCCAACCCTTCCAAAGTTCCCAAATCAGTGCTCAAATCTTCCTTTTTGTTGCTCCAGAAACATTACATCTCACACTCCTAACCCTCCCCTCCCTTCTAAATAAGCTTTCCCTCATCCTCCTTCCCAAATCTTACTACCACTACCAGACTCCCTTGCACACTTTCTTTTGTTCAGTTAATTAGCACCAATTGTTTTACTTTTCTTATTAGGAAATACAAATTTAAGTAAGAAAGAAAATTCGCGGAGCATTTTGTTAGTGGTAGTAATATGGAGCAAGAAGGCGGAAGTGTAATTTGTGTCCCAAAATGGTTCAAGTTTCTGAGAGAGAAATTCGTTGAAAACGAAGGAAAACCAAGTACTCGTTATGTACACTTTTCTAAGACTGACCTTCTAAACGTTGAATGATTCCGAGACCAGTTGAACTAAATTTTCAAATGCAGCTTATTTCTCAAACTGTAACAAATATTACTTGAACTCCATGCACAACTAAATAACTACTTAAATGGAAGAAGTGAGTGTCTTAATAATGAACTTGGGAAAAATGCGATAAATTAATGAACCAAAATCATTAATTTTCTTATATAAAATGGAGGAAGTGGAAGAAGAAATAACACAAGGGTGTCAGCGATCGTAGCTTCACCCTTCTATTACCACAGGAAACCCACCCAAGTATCTTGTAAGACTGGATTACCCTGAGGAAGAGCACAATCTTGATTTCAACTTTTCTCTTTCTCTTTTTGGCCCACATAAATCAAAATAATATGACTAGAACCAATGAACTGCTGCAAGAAGCCAGAAACCGAGACGTCTTACCACAGGGAATCAAGAGCTCGATTTTTTTTGACAGTACATTACAGTGATTGATAAATAACAGTTTTTTCCCCCAAATATTTTTTTGGAAAAATTAAGAATATTTCCGTATATCTTTGTTTTGCTTCTTGTGTTTTACTATAGCCGAGTTTTAGGCAATCGGAGCCTTTTCATACGAGAATAGCGAGTAAAAAAATAAGAAGATAAGATATATCAATCACGTAAAATTTGCTGTTATGTATGCGGACACAAAGACCGAGCTTGGGCTCCCTGTGGTCTCGGTAAGCTTTACCCTGAGGGGGGATCACTATTCTGTTCTACGGGTTTGGGTGCGATGTGCTGGAACTGACTCGCATCATAGCCAGCTGTAGAGGTCGGCTCGTGAACTGCTTTGTGTTTGGCAAGCAGCGCGAGTGAGCTGTAGGTCTTACCGCAGATATCACAGGTACTAGGTTTTTCTGTGTCTGTTGAGGTGGTTGTAGTCGTTGTGGGGGTTTTGTGGTAGGTCTCCCGGTGCATTTTCAGGCAAATCGGAGTTGAAAACTGGGTTCCACAATCCGCGCATTCCATCGTTTTCGGAGGACGAGTATTGTGAGTCGTAGAATGACGGCGAAGGTCAGCTGGAAAAGAAAAGGAAATGAGAAAAAAAWGGAAATAAATGACTGTTTTAGTAGTAATGTAATAATTTTGTTTTTGTTCAGGAGAAAAGAACACGCGCACTGATTTTCGCTCAATATAATGACAAGTGGACGTCGCACATCATAGTATGAACTTCAAGTAGAGGACCACAAGTTTTTTAGTGTATTTACACTATTAAGTSTACATCCTCTTTAAATAAAGTCTTTATTATTATTATCATAAGTCTAATCCGATTATTGTTAGTCATATATGTCGTTTATATCATTTTCAAAGTCATGAATAAAAAGTACTACTTATTATGTTTGAAAAAAATGCGCATTAAACATTGTCGTCACTTTGTTTTCCCCGACATTATTTCATGTTTTTTTTTTGCTCAGTTTTGAGATACGCGTCCGCTAAATCCCCCCCCCCCGATCATGCGCAGTACTTTGTTATCAAAATCAGAGTCTCTCTGGAAGCCAGAGCGATAGAACCTCTGGAACTGGGGTGAAATAGAGTAGGAATCAATGCTAACCAGATTTTGTGAAGCTCATGGAGCAAACTTCACATTCAAACGACTTCTCTTTGCCTTCATGGACGGCCATATTGTGTCGCCGTAAATCACCTGATACGAAAGAAATCGCGAGTATAAGATAAGCTTGTTTTTCTTTCTTTTTCTCTTCAAAACCATCCATTCTAAATTCCATTTTTGCATTTTATGATGGCTCTTAGAAGTTAAATTTTCAAGCACACTTATCACTGGACTCGGTTGTACGAAGTCGTGAATAGCGCTGTCCCACGAATAAATCTTATCCAGTGGATAAATTTATTGGATAACAGCATCGACTTATAAAGGATTTATTCGTTGGATAGCGTTATTCACTCTTCGTACGACTGGTCCCTGATCATGAATAATTAGTTCTACCTCAGCTGGATTGATCACATTTTTCATATCAGATGTTCCCATTTACAGTCGCCTTATATGTAAACTTTAGCGCTCTATTACATTGAAGTCCGGTTGTGAATGAGAAAGTCTTAAAAAAGCCTCATTTGATAGAAAAGCGAAAGTAATTTTTGAAGAAAAAATGTATCTTATAATTGCAAAGAAGTCAATCTAAATCGAATGCAGGGCACTGAAGTTTTACCCTGGTCTAACGTGGTATGAAACACTGATCGATCCAGGTAAGATAGGACTTATCATTTAAAGACCTAAAATCAGAGGTTTGACCAGGGGGAAAACATCACCTGGGGCCACCGCAACAGTTAATTTATTTCCTTAAAAATCATCTCTATAGTTTTTCCTAGGAAGACCTTACCTGATCTGTTGAATGACTTTGGACACTGATCACAGGAGTAGGGTCTTTGCTCAGAGTGTGTTACGATATGTCTGCCCAATTTACTTGACGTGGCAAAAGTCTTCGGACATTGCGGGCATTTGTGGGGCTTTTCCCCTGTGTGGATGTAGGTATGGGTCTTGAGTGAGATGGTAGTTGCAAACCTTTTGTCACAGTGTTTACAGGCGTAAGGGCGTTCACCTGGAAGTGTAAAAAACACCACGACATCATTTAAAGGCTCGATCAGGAGAGTAGAACTGTTGCGCAAGCAACTAAACTGGCATGCAATGTGATTTTGGAGGAAGGCTTCAAATCGCATCTATTCGTACGAAACAAAAACAAACAAAAAACAAAAACCGCAAAAAAAATACAACGATAAAACAGTTGAACCATCCTGTTGACTTGCAGCACTACGATATTACCATGAATACTTCAAACCCCTAAGAGTTTGAGCCTTTTAGTGGTTTCCAGAAGAACTGAGAACAATATAAAATTATAGCAACAATACATGCTACAACTGAGATCTTTTAGTCCCTTTAGGTTACCAAGAATGTTATGCGCACAATTGTGCAAAAATGGCTGAAAAACTCGCCGTCAGTGTGAAACTTTCTTGGCATTGATGGGCACATTGGGTTTTAACAGAAAATATTCGTTTTTGTACTGCACTGTACCTGAATGTATTCGACTGTGACGTCTAAGGTCATTCGAGCTATAGAAGGCCTTGGGGCATATTGGACACTTGTGAGGACGCTCTCCTGTATGTGTGTATACATGCTGTTGAAGACCAAATGGGTGTCTGAAGGCCTTGTCGCACATGGAACACTTCCACTTACGACAGCTCATGTCGGGACAGACTCTCTTGATGTGACGAGCAAGGTAGCTTAGGGAAGTGAAGATYTTGTTGCATTTGCCACACGTATAGCCCTCTGTGTTATGATAAAAGAATGACAGCAATAAACATTTGAGCCACACTGACATCATCTATGGATTAAGTCAAACCAATCGTGATTTTATGTGATCCAATTTATAGGGGAGGGGTGGGGGTTACCCAGCACTGACCACCTCTAGGAGTGAAATCCTGGATTTTGTCCTTAAATATCTCCAAAATTAAAATTACAGAAATGAATGTACTGTCTGTTTGCATGTACGATAAACATTGTATTTGTGCATAGAAATAGATACTATGGACCCCCAGTATAAAGCATTTCAACATTATCTGAGGAGTTATCCTGAGCCCAGAGGTTGTAACAGAGTCCTGCGTAACTACTCTTGCTGATTACTCTTACCTCTTCCGATCCTGTTATAATGAGGGTCTACATCCACATCGCCAACCCTAAACATCCCTTTGCTAGTRAACACCACATCCTCATCAGGATCTTCTTTCAGAGAATCAGTTGAGCTTGACTTAAGCATATCACTACCATCAGGAACCCCAATACTAAGGAGAGCAGTGGCAGCTTGTTCAAGGTTGAATTCACTGTTTTTTGATGCGGAGTCAGGATGTTCACTTGAGGAAGGTGAGGTGGATGATGTTGTTGTTGCTGTTTCAGGAGGTTTTGGTGGCGAGGGTAGAATTGTTTTGAGTTTAGCTGATGATCCTCCTGAAGCACTTGCTTCTCTTTTAAGCTCTGCTGTCTTTGTCCTCTCATGCACTAACTTCTTTACCGCTTGCTTTGCTGCAACTGAAGTTGGCRAGGAACAATCACCCCCAGCACACTCATGTACATTTTGGCTGGTCAGGTTCCCAATCGTGGTATTTATTTGTAGAGAAGTTGCCGGCAGACTCACAGCAACTAGACCTGTTCTTGTAGAGTTTAAGGCAGAAGATACTTGGGTCAAGGCTCCTTGATCCAAAACTGAGGGTGTTGTAGACTGCACAGGGAACATACCAGGTGACCCAAGAGATGTCTGCTGGGTAACAAAAGCCAAACCTGTCTGAGCCGAAATAGGTTGAGGTCTTTTATTACTGGCATCTTCTGCACTCCTAAGCTGCGTCCGAGGTAGAATAGGCCTTCCACCTAAGGTCAGGACATTGGCAGCAGGTACAGAGCTGACTGTTCCAGGGTTTATTCTTGTGCCATCTAAACTGGATCCARGTCTCGGTGCGACAGGTGGGTAACCAGATTGATCCTTATTGGGGTTGACGTTGACTCCTTGGTTAGCCGATGTTGCCATCAGATTCCTTGGAACTCCACCAAGGTTCTGAGGACTCCCCAAAAAGACCACTGGAGACTTTAAGCTCCAGACAATGGGAGGAACATTAGTTCCAACATTCCCTACATTACCGACTACTTCCTCCATTCCTTTCAATGGCTGTTGAGGAAGAATCTGCTTCTGATTTGGAGCTCCTTTATTTCCAGGTGCTTCTATTGGGGTTCCTGTGTTTTTTATTGCTGCAAGGGCCTGGAGTTTATTYGTGCTGGCATGATTTTGAATTGGGACACTTGGCTGTAACTGAGGCTGCATAAGGTTTGGGCTTGGCAGCATCACAGATGTTGGAACGCTTTGGTTTGTAGCACCAGCACTAAGTATTGTAGGCTGCACACCAACCTGCATTGATGGAGGTCTGAGCTGAGCGGCAATCTGACTAAAACTAGGCAGTGCCCCATGAGAAGCCACCATTGACATCATATTTGAAAAGGATGTGTTAATACCAGCTGAAGAATGTTGAGGAAATTGCTGAGGTAAGCTCACAGCCAAATATCCTTGTCCTTGTACTAGATTGTGGGACGGAGAAGATGTCATATGGGTTTGAAACATATGTGGTGAATGTCCTGACGACGTCTGGATCTGCATAAGTGCTTGTACAGATTGTGTTGACTTAAGACCAGCGGTTGTCATCACATGGGGATTCAGTTTCTGACTTTTACCAAAGCTCTGCTCTAAATGTGCAGCAGTGGAAGCCTTGGTGACAACTTCACTGGTGACAGGGTTTAGAGTATTATTTTCTGCTTTGTTTTCTTTTTCTTTTGATAATGGAGACTTACTTCTAAAGCTTACGAGAGCTTCTGCTGCCTGAGAAACTATTTCTTCATTATCTGAAATAGCTTTCCTTTCACGTCCTGCAAAACCAGTATTTTGACTTTTAGAAGATCTGTCTTGCTTTAAGCTGTCACCTAGTCSAGCAGATCTTAAGGCCAAATGCAAATCCTCAGCTGAAATCTTCATCAACATATCTCCAGCTTCTTTTACAGAAAGGTTGTTATTTTCTAAACAGGATTTCAATTCCTCAAACAGATGATCAAAGACAACACTCTTAACTTGAGTTATTTGAGAAACTTTACTTGATAATACAATATTCTTAACCTTGCTTTTTTTTGGTTGTATTACTTCTTTAGACGAACTATTACCTGTCACTGTACTTTTGGAAGTTTGAACAGCATTAGGYGATGTTTTTTTCAATCTTCCTTTAGAAGCATTCTTATTTCCTGCTTGTCTCCCATTCCCATTTTCAGTCTTTGTATTTTCATTTTTCGGAGTATTTGACTCAAGTTCATTTTTTTCTTGGATTTTGCTCTTTTTGTTTTTTATATCAACAGATTTCTTTTTATTAGACTCTTTTGTATTTTCCTTGGATTTCTTCTTTTTCCCAGACATTTCTGACTCCGTACTTGTACTTCCTTTTTTCTTACTCCGAGCAGCTTTTAAAGATGACAAGCTAATGTCCTCGTCACTAACATCTTCAGAAGTGGATTTTTTCAATGAGATACTGTTTTTCCCACTTCCTTTCTTGCCATTATTATTTTTTGTTGCTTTGTTTTTGTTATTGTCATTTTCATTTTTATTCCATGATTTGCCTGCATTCTTTCCAAGGTTTTTAGCATCTTTATTTGTTTCTTTCTCATTTACTGGAGATGAATTACAACTGCTTCTTAATTTTGTAGTCTTTAATTTTGTTTTCTTCTCTTTTCCTGTAACTGCAGCATGATCAGAAACCTCACTGTCACTTTTATAATCATCATCCTTCTTTTTCACAATTTTTCGTCTAAAAACAGGAATAAAAGCCTAAAGGTGAGCATTATTACAGTATGCATCAAAATTTAAGTATCATTTATGTAAAATTTAATGCTGGGGGCCCAAACAAAATGGCAGATTTTTGAATTTGCCGATACCCCTTGGAAAATCCTGGCTACACCCCCTGTCTGGTGAAAAATCCTCCATCCCTCCCTGATACCCCTATAAATTACAAGCATGGAATCCAAGAATTTGTGTCTATGACTGATGGGCTAAAGTAGGAATTTAAATTACTAAATTTTTTACCTTTTGTTTTGTTTATGACCAACATCTTTTTTACTGTTAGCATCATGGAGTTCCTGCATATGCAAAGAAAAAGTATCTTCAATATTAAATTCAAAAAAATATTTATATATTTTGTTTAATATTTTATGATGCAAATGATCTTGATAAATTTATAAGTTTGATAAATTTATATTTCAAAAAAATGTGTTTTGCCATGTTACTGTACAAAATATGCAGAGGCATAGCCACCATTTTGTTTGTCCCTTCCAAAATGCCAAACAAAACAAACAAACAAACAAAAAAACAAAAAAAAAACGAAGAGAGGAGCAAAAAGTATGATAAATCAGAAAGATTGAAGACAGGTTACAGCTAGATTGTTTTATTATTTATCACTCCATTTCTATAAAGGGCAGTCACAGGCCCCTTAACCCCCCCCCCCCCCCCCCGACATTCTTGATATCATAAATGAACATATTAGCATTATAAAATAATTTAATACCATTTATAAAATTATTTTACTTTAGTTAAATTCCATATTTTTCAAAAAATTCCAATATAAAAATCAAAAAAATTTTGGCAGATTTTGGACATTAAAAATTATGATATCGATTAGTTGCTGCAGATGATGAATTAAATTTTTACACTGATAAAAAGTTGTACTTGGCAAGCATCCATTATTGTATCAAAAAGTCACCAAAATAATCTAACCAAAAATATGAGTAAAAACAAAAATAGTATGATAATTTATGATTTACTCCAGTAGTAGAATTATCATGAATCATATTTGAGATTATTTCTATTTTGACTACATAACGACATGGAAAGGCAATATATATTTTCAAGATTTTTGCAAATTTGAGAAAACCATTTGAGTGGCATAAAGGCCCTAACCTCATAATATAAATACAGACTTCATGAAATTATCAAAACATCGTCAAAAYAAAAAATAATACGCAATAAAGATCTTAGAACTTCTATCATATTAAGGAAGACAGCCAGCCACTATATTACGCAGCATTTTTTTAGCCGCGTCTGCAATTTCAYTTTCTGGACTCTAGCTAAAACAAGGAAAATTCCCATTTTGGTAATTTTTTACATTAAATATAAAAAGTCCTAAAGCATGAGAGATTAGAACGATGATCACATTAAAACCTTAGTCTTCTTAGTTTGTCTAAAACACTGAATCGTCTGGAGAATTTTGATGTGATAATATAGGAGAATGCATGGCGAGCGAATAATTTGAATGAGTTTTGCTCAGAATCAGAATAAAACTAAAATTGGAACTTTAGTTTCTTCTCAGATAAACGGATAAGACTATGAGATTTTTAAGAAATAATAATCATGTGTTAATATCAATTCGAGCCTACTTGGAAAGCGTTCTAAGGGCTTTGGTTTGTTTTTAAAGACGTAGTCAGGGAAAAATCTATAAACACGAGACAACACCACGACAGAGTAGGGGAGCAACCCTTACGACGTCGAACAGAACAGATTTGAATCCTTCACTTTGAGTTCAGTTTTATAGACAAATTAGTCAACGAAACCAGCTAAAGATCACCAAAGATTTTTAAGAGATTGTGTTATTTTGCTATGCATCGTTTGAAACATAGATTTACCGGTGGAAAAACCGGTAAAAAAAACTTGACCTCGGCGGCTATGCACCCCGTCTTGAATCACATGGTCGTCCAAGCATCGTCAACAAGATCAAGACAGCTTCGTTTTACACCGTCGTAATGCAAACAGAAGTACTTATTTAGGCATCTAACCTGTGCAGAACAGGACTTAGACTAGTATTTGTGTATTTGCAGCTACTGAGATGTGGTGAAATCTTCAATTTACCTCAATACCGGCGCTTCCTTCACTTTCCGGTTCGACATCGTCTGAGATACAACATGGACATTTGCTCGGATGAGTTCGTTTTCTTCTGCGAAAATAAGAAGAAAAAGCCTTAAGAAACTCATGAATAAAGCACAAAAATCCCTAAAGTAGACATATTACCTTCGTCTGAGACCACTATAAGCTTCTGCCATTACAAAACGACGGAGAAATAAAAGCAAAAAGTGGTGTAGATAGTAAAATCGAAAGCTGATCGGACATGTTTGTGTCAGAGTAAACCCTTCGTTTGCGTCAGAGAAATACCACCACTAAACATTTTGTCACAAAACGTCTTTAGAACCTTGATGCTGATTGGATTCTTCACAAAAAACATTATTATTATTTCGTATCAAATAAAAAAAATAAATGAACAAGACATTTTTATTTTAGTATGAAATAAAGGAAATATTGTTTTGGGTATCCATAAGTGATTAGAACCCAAATAAATGCAAAGGAAAATAACATTACGAGATCTTTTAGGTTTTACATAATGTTTTAATGTAAACACGTTTGACMGGTTAGTTTCATTGGGCTGGGTGTCACGCAGGCGCATTTGAGTGAGAAAAGGAATTGTGGGAAGGGGGAGGAAGTTTCCCGCGGAAAACGCGATTTCATGTTGATTCTGGCATGTTTTGTAAATGAATGATTTTTAAAATCATTCAAAGGTATAATATAGTACCTTTTTAAAGAAAATATATATGCAATTCTAAATCATTTTCTCATAACTTTAAAATGGGTATAAAGTATGGTATAATTTAACTACACTGTTATACTTACAACTTAACAAAACATATTTGAAATAAATGAAAATGCAGTAAAATGAATTAGATAAAATCATAATATTGAATAAAAGAAATATGACCTCTATTTGGAAGAATAGTAAAAAGTCACGAAAAAAAAGAACCTTATTTCCTTATCAGGCTTCTCGGACGCTTTAAGATCATAAATTTATTGAATTTGTATGGCGATTTCAAGGTAATCTGCTGTCTGCTGTTGTCATCATGTCAAGGTAATCATCTACAACTGTCCATAAGAGATCCATAGGTTATATACGATAGATCTAGGAATGATTACTAACGACTGGGCACATTTCATTAGTCACATTCATAAGGGGTGATTTTAGTATGATCCTGGCTGGGTCTGTCACGAGAAAATTATCATGTACCTGGTAATCAATGAAATTTCAATGTCAACCGATGAAGTCCAGAAATCGATTGGCAGGAATTGAATTGAGGCAACTTAAAAGAACCTTAAATTGTTATAAATCTTTGTCAGGTTCAGATCCCTTGAGTATGTTTTCTTTCTTTTGGACAACTTGGCAATTTAGATCTGTACAGAATAAACTTCAATCAAGCCTCTCTTTCTTGGATCAAGCAGGACAATTTACACGATGTTCGAATTCGTCTTCCCAAACGTTAAGCGTTAACTATGATTTTTCATTCAAACTGTTCTCTTATCTTTTTCCACTTCTAAGCTTTTCATTCTACTTTCTCAATTTTTTTCTTTTTCGTTCTCATTTCTGTAGATTTTTCTATGGGCATCCCCTTCGAACCGGAAGTGCTTCCCTTTTGCCAGGTCATGTGACAAATGTCCATTTGGTGACGTATCGAATATCCGCCATCTTGGATTGTTTCAGAAGAGCAGAAAGATCGATCGGTCTGAATTTTTCTGGCCTTCTTTCCTCATCTGATTTTATTCTACATAAATTAAAGTCTAAGTGCAACCACTGGAAATAACCAAGTTTACTATCAGAAGACTACCGTGGAAAATTCTTAACGACAAAGTGTATTTTTTTCACTTTCTTTTTATGTAAACAGCTTGGGACTCTAGCTATCCAATATTCATAACGTTCCTAACCGGCATTTTATCAAATTGTTTTACTTCATATTTGGATATTTTCTGCCCCATTACTTATATTCTACTTGGGACTTAGTATTTCAAGCTGTATCCAAAAGAAGAGCTAAGGATTTGCTTTGGATGGTGTGTGAAGAGAATGGAAAAATCAGAAAAARAATCATTCAGACATGGAGCATAGTTAGCTGATGTTCTTGCTACCTTGGACCGTGACTTTATTTCTAGATGTCTTCAACTGTGGATGATCCACAGCTTGACAATGAAGAAGAGAAGGAGACCAATCCTCAAGTGAATGGGGATTTATGCAGAACTAATGATGGTATTGATACAGAGAATTGTACAGACCTTCCTCAGGTCGTTAGTGAAGAGACTCAGGCGGTTTTAGATGAAGTACAAAACGATAAAACACTAATTTCTCAAACTAATGGACTCAAGAATGAAAATCAGGACGTCCAGTTAGTTTTAACAGAATATGAACATGTCAAAGACGAGTTAATGAAGCTCCAAGCGGAATATCAATCTTCCATTCAACGGGAAAGAAATTTATGCGAAAAACTTCAAAATTTTCACACGGAAGAAGACAACAAGGTCTCTAAACTTAGCAAAGTGAACGAAGATCTCAGAGAACAGCTGAATAATGTGCTTGAGGAACTTAATGGAAAAAAAGGAGAATTAAAAAAGTAAGCTCTTTAAAAATTGAGATTTCCCTCTTCAACACGTATAAACATGAATATTAAACCTTCATTGTACATAGCTATTTATGCCAATCTTTGCTGTTCTAATATTATTTATATATGTATATATCTATAAAGGATTTTGTTATTTTTTGTCTTTATCTCCAGTTTTTTATCAGCAAAACTGCCCAATTGAAATGATCTTATTTTACCTAATTAAATTATAAAGAGAAATGGAAACGATGCATTGTATAAATATTTTTGGTCTCAAAAAGCGTTTTGTATTTTTCTTAGTTCATTAGTAGGCTGCCTCGAAATTGATTAAGATTTCAGGTCTTAAGAAAATCTTTTAGCATGACAGTTATCCAGTTGAATGAAAAAAAAGTTAATCTAAATTTCAACAAAAATATGATTATCTTAAATTGTATTTGAAGCTCCTAGCAACGATATCAAATAGGGTTCAGCATGTGTGAACATTGCTTCATCATGTCGATGGTAATTATTCATTGGGTGAAGTGTTTTGAGAGGTGACACAATCAATAATACCTAAAGGCTTACTGATGTGGTTTCTGATGCCAGACCTAGAGGGTGATATTTGAGGAGGGAGAAAGACAGAAGAACTCAAGGACTCTTCCCACGTATGACATTAAATACATCCATGACTACTATTAGCTGGCGGCAGTATATGAAGCAATACTTGTGTTTTTCTCCTAACAGTATTATTAATAAGCCAGTTCATAGTTTAAGAATTGTTTTCAGTGCGCATGCAACCTTATCCTGAATTTCTCACCTTCTTTCATTTAATTAAGAGCAAAATGAGATTTAGAGAAAAGAAGGTGAGAAATTTGGGATACAATAGCATGAACACTGAAAACGATTCTTAAACTATGAACTGGCTTATAAAGGACTTTCTATTTAAACAGTGTTAACTCCACTTTGGATTCCACCCAAAAAGAGAGAGACAAGTTGTCAACAGAGCTGGCCAAGCTTCACATTGAACGATTAGAAGAAAGGGATGGACTGAAAGAAAAAGTGAAAAGTCTTGATGAAGTAAATAATAAGCTTGAGGACGAACTGGAAACAGTGAAGGGGAAGATGCAAGCACATGATTCTGCTGCAAAGCGTGCAATTAATGCCATCCAGAAAGAAATGGCATTGAGAGTCGACCAGGTATGAAAATAAATAGAATTACTAATATGTATGCATTATTTGTTTCATATATTTCTGTTTTATGACTATGAAACACTTGTAGTAAATGCATCGGTGTCATAGTGACAAGATAATAATTAATAATAATAATAAATTAATACTTATATTGCATAAATTTGCATGTGTATGTGATCAAATGCGAGTATTTTGATTGGATAAGCAGTCTATTTGTGTGATTGGTCTAAAGGATGTTGTCAATTTCATATCATGACCTTTCCATTTCCTGGTTATATCAAACTTTATCAGACTTTTTGCAGACAACATGAATTTTAATGCAAATAAAAGATAAATACTTTCTCAAAATTGTAATATATTACTTCTCTACCTGTATTGTTAATCACAATAGAAAAAATAAGTACATAAGGCCCACAAAAGACAATCCTAATTTTCCAAGGCTTCTGGATTTTTAGACTGGGCATGCAATTCCTGACATTAAAGCCTCATATTTCATAGGTAACTAAGATGTATGAAGATGCACTGAAAGACAAAGAAAATGCTGTTCTAAAGATGACTCAACTTGAAGAGGACAAGAAAAAAATCTTTGTTGAGAAAGAACTATTAGCTGGAAAGTTCATTGACAATAATAAGGTACGATCTTCACTGTCAGCTTTACTTGATGATTTCTATTGGTGATTGGATTCCAAGCTGGTTGCGAATTATTTGAATCAATTTTTACTCAATCTATTTTATCTCAGGAGAATGAGAAATTAAGGCAGAAAATTAAAGATACAACCGGTGACTTAGCAAAAGCTCAAGCATCTTTGGAAGAAAAGGTTATCTTTTAAATTTTAATTGGAATTTAAACAATTCTGCAAATATCTGGCAATATATTGATCATTTGTTTATCTGTTTTTGTTACATTTTATCTCATAGGAAAAGGAAGTCCTGCCACTTCAAAAAGAATTAACAAAACTAAAAGAAGAAATTAATTCTCAGGCAGTTAAAGTGAAGTGGGCACAGAATAGACTAAAAAATGAACTTGAAGCTCATAAAGTAAGAACTCAGTAAAGTGAAATCAATTGAAAAAGTATGGCCTATCATATGTACAGGAAATAGTGTTTTTAAACTCCTGAGCCCAGTTGTATGTAGGGTGGATAGCACTGTGTGATATATAAATCTTATCCAGTGGATAAATTCATTGGATAATAGCATTGACTTATCCACTGGACATAGAGGATATTACATGGGTGTGCGGAGATACGAATTTTATCTTCAAGTGTTGAAAAGATCTCTCACAACGGAAGTGAGCGTAGCAAACAAATGAGAGATTTTCAACGCAAGAAGATAAAATTCCTATCTCCAAGCGGCCATGTAATATTCTGTTTATTATATAATTATCAATCAAGTATGTTTTGGCTTTTTCAGGCAATTCTTTCTGTGTATTTTTGAATAGCCATCGCAATGGTGTTAAATAACATGTTATTTTCACATGTGAAGATATCAATTTTTCCAAATAAAGAAAAATAGATATTTTATTGGTAATCATATAATAAAAGGATTTATCTCTTGGATAGCACTTATCACCCTTCATACAATCAGGCCCTGGTTCCGTCACTGATTGTGTTCTTTCAGGAAATATCAGAGTGGAAAAGGATATTTATATATTTTAGACCCCACTCAACTTACCAACACCTAAACAAGTCCCACAATGAATGTATTGGAATATATCTTCCTTAGACCTTCCATCCATTTGAGCCTGAAATTTTTATTTCCCATTTACTTCACCCTCCCTATTTTAGGATTAGATTTTTTGTGAGACTATTTATCCATCAATTCGTCTATGTTCATTTTCATGCACTAGAAAGGAAGCAGTAAGTTTCATATGAACATGTTGTATTTTGCAGGAGACAAAAACAAAGCTAAGTCAGACCACCCAAAAGCTTAAAGAAGCCAGAGAAGAAGGCGAGATGATAAGGAGTAACTGCCAAGCTCTTATCAAGAAGTACCAGGTATATGGATGGAGTTATTTTTTGTGGTTAAGGAGCAAGTGTGAGCAAAATGAGTATTGAGCTCCTAGTATGGTATATGATCTCACATTTACTAGACCCCCCCCCCAAAACCCATAGACCCCAGAGTAGTACTGGGTAATAGACCCCAAAGTAGTACTGGGTAGTGGACCCCAAAGTAGTACGGGGTAGTGGACCCCAAAGTAGCACAGGGTAGTAGACCCCAAAGTAGTATTGGGTAGTTATAGACCCCAAAGTAGTTCTGGGTAGTGGACCCCCAAGTAGTACTGGTTAGTAGACCCCAAAGTAGTACTGGGTAGTAGACCCCACAGAGGTACTGGGTAGTAGACCCC